ATTACCTACCGTAAAATTTTTGAAAGATTGACACATTGCCGCACATTGCATGACAAATTGTCGGACAGAGACCAGCATCTGATCTTTATTTGTCACATTTTTTAATTAACGGTAATGGCACAGTGGTATCGACGCTTGACTGCCATGCAGGCGGACCAGGTCTCTACGCTCGACCGATGCTGTAGCTTTTTTCCTTAATTATCATTATTTACTTATTTCCTTTTTAATATTAAAGTATTAACCAAAGAATGCTTTTGTTTAATTGGTTCGTAGCTCACGTTGTATTGGAGGACTTTCAACTTAGTGGCATTAAAATATGATAAGACTCTTTTTATTTTGACTAAGAGTATAAATTGACATACTTTTCCTTAGGCAACACATTATACTGAATTGGTTATTCTTGAGAAAATTGATAGAGTTGGCCTCTACTATATGAAAGTTGATCATAATGATTTTTGGTAAAAAAAAAACACTTTGAAAACGTTCACTTAATTTTTATTAGATTCTTAACAAGTTTCGACCTACAAGGCCCGTCTTCATGTATCATGTAGAGATAAGGAAATTATTTATTTTTTAACCCTGTTTTATACTAAATTCCTAAACCGATTATACGAACGACCGACTAATTGACCCTTTCAGTATAGCGTGTGCTTTTGTTTTTTCGTTAAATAAATTAGAATTAGGTCGACCTTAGTAAACTGTATAGAATGTCTTTTAGTCTCTGGCATAATTCAATTTCATCAAAAGCGTAACTGATACCGGGTGAAAGGAAAACAAAGGCAGCACAATTATCGCCTTAAAAATAATAACTGACCCTATCAACAGCGATAAACAATATGCACGATTTGCTAATTAGGGCTTGTAGGGCCCGTAAATTAAAGGGGATCTTAATTATACAGGATTCGGGCTGCTGAATGGACGGCTTGATAATATGGGAAAGAGAACAGCTTTTCGGGTTATTATTTAAATAAAGTCAGTGTTCATTAAAATAAATAGGATCAAATCGGGAGGGTACATAAAAGGGATAACAACGAGGATAATTGGATACCCTTATGTTGTATCTAAACAGAAATAAGGAAAATAAATGTACCTATAGGGTGTACAAAGTAGCAGTGTAGTTAGAAAAGTTTATTTAAAGATATTTGTAAATTTGAGTATAAAGTATGAGTCTGTAGTTGTCAATGTCTAGAACTAATTGCAAATTAAGTTAAATTATTTTTATATAATCGCTTCGTTAGTGTGGCGTGGGTGTGACAACATCGACAATTTTTCCCTCATTAATTTGAGGTAGCGTGTCATCATCATCATCATAAGGTCATCAGTCCTAAGACTGGTTGGACACGTACCTCCACTCTTTCCTATCCTGAGCTAAACTTCGCATTTCCCTAAAACTAGAACTTGCCGATGTTTTTCCATTGGGCACTCTGGGCAAGTGCCCAGGGCCCCACGATCAACGGAGGCCCCCTATACAGTTCCTGTCAGATCCATTCGCCAACCATAAGCCGATAATTATTTTAAGAAAATTAATCAATAATTGCTGTTAGAATATTTACTTGCATAATCGCTTTTTGTGATTCTTCAAACATTTATATATTCTGGAATTGTATTATTTCCAATCGCTCTCCAAAGAGAAAAATACAGAATCTGACTACAAGGACTTGTCTCAAAGAATAAGACTTAGAAGTTCGCGCCAGACATTTTTTGATAACTGCACCGATAGTCCAACTAAGTTGGGAAGAGATATTAAAGTAGAAATATCTTACTTCCCATAAGTGATATCACAAGCGTGCATCTAAAACAACGATTGAGTTTTTGTTTTTCGTTTGAAAACTCCAAATCCAGAGAGAAAGTTGCAAATAATTTGCTGCTATAAAGATGTCAACGAGAAAGAGTTAAAAATAGAATGTCTGTATTTGGCAAAGTTTTGATAAAAAACCGAGTTTGAGACACATTTCCAAATGTAGAAATTGCATTGAGAATCTTTTTAAACATGATGGTAACTAACTATAGTGACGAATGCTCCTTCTTTAAACGGAAAAGAATAAAAAATAAGTTAAGACGAACAATGCTTCAAGAAAGATTGATCAGTCCATAGAATGGGATATGCTCAAAGAGAAAGAGTTTGAACAACCGGTTGACGATTTTGTATATCTGAAAACTAGAAGGGTGCCTTTTCAAAAAACACAATTTTAAGTACCAACCTGAGAATGATATTAGAGTTACTACTTTAGAGTCATATTACAATTATCTATTCATTTATGTGAATGTAAAGAAACAAATAACAAACCAAAATAATTCTCTGTCAAAGCTGTAGGGGCCCCGGTAGGCTTATGTGCCCAGGGCCTCCAATAGGTTAAAGACGGCCCTGACTAGAACAGCCCACATCCTTAACTATTTGCGAACAGTAATCTAATCTACGTCTACCTCTACCCCTCCTAACTCCTGTTTCTGTCTCTAATATGTCTCTGACTACACCTTCATGCCTGAGAAGGTGTCCTACCAACCTATCTCGCCTATTTTTTATCGACTTCCATAGAGTCCTCTGTTCTATTCTCTCCAATACGTCTTCATTTCTAACCTTTTCTACCCACGTTATCCTCATCATCCGCCTATAACACTGGTTGGACACGCACCTCCACTCTTTCCTATCATGAGCTAAACATCGCATTTCCCTAAAACTAGAACAGCCCACATCCTTAACTATTTGCTAACAGTAATCTAATCTAGGTCTACCTCTACCCCTCCTAACTCCTGTTTCTGCCTCTAATATGTCTCTGACTAGACCTTCACGCCTAAGAAGGTGTCCTACCAACGTATCTCGCCTATTTTTTATCGACTTCCATAGAGTCCTCTGTTCTATTCTCTCCAATACGTCTTCATTTCTAACCTTTTCTACCCACGATATCCTCATCATCCGCCTATAACACCACATTTCGAACGCTTCTAACCTTTTCTTTTCCGCCGCTCCCACTGTCCATGTTTCGCACCCGTACAACGCCGTGCTCCAAACATACACCTTTAACAACCTTTTTCGAATTTCTAAATTAACCGTTCGCGAGCATAGAAGTGACTTCTTTTTATTAAAGGCGACACGACCCTGCGCTATCCTCTGCTTTATATCCCTACTACTCCTTTCATCCTCACTTATCTGACTTCCTAGGTATCTAAAATCAGCCACTTCTTCTAATTTTTTGTCTCCTATCTTTATATTCGCTCTTTCCCTACTTTTCCTTCCCTTGCATATCAGTATTTTAGTTTTACTTTTATTTATTATCATACAGTACTGATCTGTCAGTACCGCTTCCATTTTATTTAAAGCTATCTCTAGGTCCTCCTTGCTAGATTAATATTTCATACGTTAGTGTTGTCTTTTCCTATAGTAGCTTATTATTATTATTTTTATTTAGTATCAGTACTATCTTTAAACTAGCAAGATCAAAATATGCAACACCACATACTGGAACAGTCTTGGTCTTGTTCTGACTGTTCATCACTACTTTTTAGTTAACAATTTTTTGTTTTTATCCGTTTCGAGATAAATTTTTGTGTGTTGAGTAATTTTTTTCTCGTCGACAATCAATTTTGTCGTTTAAATTCCGCTATCTTAATATCATTCCCGGTACAGTAGCTTTTCCATCAGAGCAGACATTAAACCCTGAAATTTTTCAAGTTCCAGACAAGTAAAAAGTAATAACTATGTACATCGGTGACTAACAGGGGGTAAAAACGGCAAGGAAGAAAACAGTTCTTCAATCTCATTTTGCAAGATATTTTTTATATCTGTATACCTATCTTCCAGTTCTGCAGATAAGTAATGTGTTTATCCGGGATGTTTCCCATATCTCACTTTCACTTAGCGGTTAAGTGACTAATGTCGCAGAAGAAAAATATAATTCACCATAATATATCAAATCATTTATCATCCATTTTATGTATATGTAACACACGATTTAAAACCATAAATTGTACTATTTGCAAATCGAATATCAAACCACGATTACTGTTTGTTATTGTTGTGTTTTTCCTTGCGACTTAAAGACGAAATAGTTTCTTCCATATTGAAGTATGCTATAACAATTACTTTGGTGACGTTGTTTTATTACCATTGATAGTTTTTTACACTAGATTTGGCCGTTGTTATTAATTTTCAGTCCATAGACTTTTATACGTATTATTTTTATTGATTGTAGGATTTTTTATAGGTGTAATATCCTTGCAAGAATCAGTTTTCTTTCAAATCACCATCATAAAGAAGGACGAAAATATAAGGCCGTTGTTCAACTCCCTGTGGGGTTCTCGCTAATCGATATAATAAACTTTTATAATAAATATAATAGCTACTTGAAGCCATATTGCTCAACTGCTTCATATCATTCTTTCATGCTCGTTTTCTGAGATATTTACGGCTTTTATTCCTTATGTAACCTCGTAACGGTGTCATGCACTGACAACTTCTGAAGTTAGTGAAACCTAGCTAGCCTATGGGGGAATCCCTTAGGTTTTTTCGCCTTTAGTAGCAGCTAGTCGAATTTTTATCAGCGTTGTACTTACAAAAAGTCCCTGTCGTAAATCTTGAAAGTTAAATTAATTATAGGGAGACATTGTAAGTAGTAGGGGGTAAGTTACTTACTATTTCGCACCCTGTTACAATAGTTTACGATTTGCTATTGCGAATATAATTAATTTATCAATCAGCAAAGTAATTGTGTATTTACTCATATTGTTGCTATTTAGGCTCTTCTTCGAGGTGCCCTAAGTCAACAATCTGCTGTAATATTAATATGTATGGCTGTGGATCGATATTTGTACATGCTCCATCCCCATCGCTACCAAAAGCATTCCAGTAAAAAGGTAATGAAACGTTTACGTATCTACCTAATAGTAATTTGTTTAATAGTCATTGATAAAAGCTTCGAATTGAAACGAGATTATAAGATGAAGATAATCACGAGTTCACTAAATCTTTGGAAATTATCGAAAAGAAATTTCTAATAGCTATATTCCTTGGTCCTGAAGGTAAAAACTCGTTTCAATTAAAACAGGATGTTTAACGAGTTAGCAAAGATTTGAAACGGACAAGAGCTTCACTTCTTAGAGTAAATAGTAGTGGCGTCTGGGGAAGCCGTTTAATTTAGACGATCGATGGATGTAATTTGGAGTTCCCACTTGTCCCAGTTGCAACACGCTACGGAAAAATCTTTTATAGGAGACAGGTATCCGCTAGAACTACACTTTTCCACGGTAAAACCCAACGTGTGGATCGAATCGAGTTGAGTAAATATCTTTATTGTGAGCTTCTGCTTTACTTTGTATAGACTCTTGTACAACAACTACAAATAGATGTCAATGACTAAAAGAAAGATAAGAAAGTGGTTGGTAAATAAATAATACAAGAGTTCAAGTAATCGTCGTATGGATCATGATACGTTTCGGGGAACAGTCACAATTATTTTGTTTATTAATTAGTGTTAGTGTTTGCATTAAATGAACTAAATTTTAACATGTTAGACGTTAATTTTATATCCAACCTACATATATGAAATTAAGTGGAAAATCTGGAAAATTAATGATCCCGATTTCCATATGAATTGTTTTGAGATCAAACTTCGCAGGCATGTAATGTTTGAAATACAATGTCATAATCCTGCTGAAAATAGGGGATAGAGGTGGTACGGCGGTTCCTATTCACGAAAGGATTCAATGTAGCCGTAGTATGCTGACCAAGTCTCTAGCGGGATAAACTGGGATTAAAACTGGATAGAGGAGATAATATTTACACTTTGCTGAACTTCTATGATTTAGTTCAACTTTGTGATCCCTTAAATTAGAGACTTACATACACTGGAGTGGGTTTTCCCCATTTAAAAATACTACTCTTCAATTTATATACATGTATCTACAGACATTAATTTGGATTTAAATAAGTTGAACCTAATAGTCCTCGTTAGCACACCAAAGATAGTTTCAACAACTCAATAACCAATCGAAGGTTGCCCCATGTAAAGAAGTTAATTAAAATCAAACAAACGGTAGTATATCGCCATCTGTCTATATTTACTGGTTACTGTAGTAGGTATTTCATGTACTCATGTGTATACATACACAGTTGCTTGATTTAAATTTAATTTACAGTACGATTATCTTTTTATTATTTTTGGAAGGATAAAAATCGATTTTTGAAATTGGTTCCAATAATTTTATTATGTTTATATGTTTGCATATTTGTTTACTGCGACGTGTTTTCAATATCCAAAAAGTTTTCCTTGACTTACGAAAGCTGTGCGGTTGATGTAAGATTTTTACTCCCATTCTGGCAGTTTTAAGAAGCGTTCTTGGCTTCGCTTTTGACATTTTTATGCAAAATAAAAGTACAGCTTTAAGGGAACGTTCAAGTTTAAGTCTAACAGCCCGGAAAATTTATTTTTCGCCTTCCATTCTCTATTTATTGTTTGAATCGAATGTAAGAATATATATTAAAACCGACCCATCCCTTGCTACACGCCCCTACTGGCGACAGAAAGTATTATGAAGGCGGACAAGTGAACAAAAAAAAAGCCCGTCAACACATTTTCAATTCAAGTTTTGATTAAAAATAAATATATTTTGTGATTCGAAACAGAGAAATGACGATAATATTAAGCAATTAGAATTATATTTCTCGAACAAAATTAAAAATTCGGGCAATATCTCTAGGGTGTAAAAACAATAGTAAAATTGGAAAGAAGATTTTCATTAAAGTCGTTTTTCTTATAAAATCAACAAAGTCCTATGAACGTTTTGGTTTAAAGGTAATTTTTTAATTTCAGGGCTGCGTTGCAATAATAAGTTTGACATGGATTATGTCTATGACTCTATTTTCTATCCTGGTGCTTCCCCGAGGCGGTTACTATTTCAACTCGACGGGAATGGTTGCGTGCGAACCCTTTTATTCGCGTGCCTCCATCCGAATCCTGACCGCCTGCGGGTTCTACTTTCCTACCACCATGATTCTTATGTATTGCTACGGATCCGCGTTTCATGTTAATAAATTAGGACTGAAAACTAATGTCTCTCTCCCGACTCATCCACCGGAAACTGCCACTGTCAGCGAAAACTGCACCAGCTCCATTCATACAATGGAAAAGGTAAGACTTAGCGAAATATTTAGGACATGGTGGCTAATTATGTTTGACCAACAGTCATGAGATTAATAGACACATAGATTTATAAACTCTATCATGTAAAAACTGTATCATAAACCATGTTCATCATCATCATACGGTCGTCAGTTCTAATAAGACTGGTTGGACATGCACTTTCACTCTTTCCTAGCCTCAGTTAATCATTTGTATTTCACTGACTATATATAAACTAATCCAATCCGTCTACTTTTACTCCTCCTAACTCCTATTTCTGCTTCTAATATGCCTCTCTGCTGAGACCTGTTAGTCCTTTATGCCTGAGAAGGTGTCCTACCAACCCATCTTGCCTATTTGGCTGGCGGCGGCGGAGAGAGGGTAACGGCTGCATTAGATGGATATAATACGCAGCCGCGCGGAGAGTCCCGGCGGCGTGTGCTGTGCTCAGCTGTTATTTTCTTACCTCTGCTCTCCACGTGGCTGGGCATCATTGCCTCTATTTGCAGTCTGTGTTAAAACCAAATCATAATTTGCAGTAAACCTGTGCTGGGACACATAGTAGAAGTGAAACTTCTTTTTACTAAAGGCGACTCAAACTTGAGCTATCCTTTGTTTTACTGCTCCTTTTATCCTGAATAATCTGGTTTCCTAATATAGATCTACTTCTACTCCTCCTAATTCCTATTTCTGCTTCTATCTTTTTGTATCTTGCCTATTTGACTGGCGGCGGCGGAGAGAGGGCAACGGCTGTATTAGATGGACATAATACGCAGCCGTGCGGAGAGTGGGGAGTCCCGGCGGCGTGTGCTGTGCTCAGCTGTTGTTTTCGTACCTCTGCTCTCCACGTGGCTGAGCATCATTACCTCTATTTGCGGTCTGTGTTAAAACCAAATCATAATTTGCAGTAAACCTGTGAAAACGAAATGTGTGCTGGGACACATAGTAGAAGTGAAACTTCTTTTTATTAAAGGCGACTTGAACTTGCGCTATTTTTTGTTTTATATCTCTACTGCTTCTTTTATCCTTAATAATCTGACTTCCCAATCTGTTATAGAATTATAGTTAGATTCTTTAGATGGCATATTATAGTAATCATGTTACCCTTGTTCCTCGTTATAAGGCAAAAAAGGGCCTTTTATGTCCGTTATATGATTATAGGTTACATTATCAGAATGTATTATTAAAAGATAATTCAGTGTCCTATTTATAATCCGTATTCCCAAAAAAGCATCGTGTTACACGGTTGACTGCATATAAAATTAAATTGTACGAAGATGAAGTCATACACATTATAGGTATGTGTGTAAGTCCTTATCTTAAAACCAGATGAATTAAATTGCAAAGGTTAATTCAAGTAAACTATAATCAGGCAGGTCTCGGGTGCATCCAAGCGCTGGTAAACTGCATTACCTCGCTTCAATAAATTTATCCTTAAATGGTACACGTACTGCATTTTGAACTATACGTCGAAACTACGTGACTGTGGAAATTTCTATTTTCTAAGAGTGGTTGAAACAGGAATTTAGGTAACCAGGCATTTGAAATGGTGAACGATAGGCGAAATAACGTTATCGATATTATTGCATTTCTACGCTATCGACAATGTAAATGCAAATAGCAAATTATTAAACTAAAAGTTACATTTGCAGTAACAATGTATAGTGGTAAGTAAAAAAACCAAATGTCTGCTGGGATAGATAGTAGAAGTGAAACTTCAACGGACAAGTGGAAAAACGAATCGCAACAAAATTTTTACTTCAAGTTTTACGGGGAGATTGTTAATGTACTTGTCTAACTTAAAAACCTGACCGTAAAACTTCAAGCAAAAATTTTGTTTCCATTCGTTTTTCGACTTGTACGTTGAAGTTTCGCCTCTACTATATATTCCAGCACACATTTCGTTTTCACAGGTTTACTGCAAATTATGATTTGGTTGTTACACAGACCGCAAATAGAGGCAATTATGCCCAGCCACATGGAAAGCAGAGGTAAGAAAGCAACAGCTGAGCACAGCACACGCCGTCGGGACTCTAGCGGACTCCCCACTCTCCGTGCAGCTGCGCATTATCATCATCTGCCGCTGCTCTCTCTCCGTCTCCGCCAGCCTTTCTCTCCGGCGATATACCGTCTACCCTCTCCACGCGGCCATAACGCTTTTTCGGGAGAGAAAAAATCGTAATACTCCGTCGTCTTTATAGAAGTTTTACTTCAAAAAATTTTAATCAATAAAATCGGAAATTCGATACGTATAACTCAAAACTTGCTGTACACTTTTGTGATTATCCTTTAAACTCATTTTTCCGAAAAATTTCCTTAGAGAAGGCTACTATTTTCTGATGATTCCAATGTATTAAACTAGTAAAATGAAATTGCTTTCATTCCTTTATTTATTCCATTCGGATGAAGATATCAAATGGTATAGTAACCATTTAATTTACACTACATTTCCTGCATTTTCGAATGAAAGGAGAGCGTCAGGCTTATCCTTCTTATAGCCGTTAACACGGGGCACTTGTCGTTACACAGTTTCGGAAAACTGCATTTCTGTCATAAAATAGAGATATTTACGATGGCGATAATAAAATTTATTGCCAACTTTTTCTATTCTGAAGTGCGACGTTACCATCCGATTAGAGAGCTTTCTCCACTGAAGATGAATGGGATACTAAGCTATAAAGTCTATTTGTTTCTACGTGTTCAGAACTGTTACAAAACTAGCACGAACTATTTTATTATTAGGTATATTTTTCAAGAAGTATTATTAATACACGAATATGCAAGTAGATATCGATAAGTTTCTACATTAGATGATGTTTCTTAAGAGTTTATTCTTTGTGTTTGATTCTTGGTGCAGAACTTTTTATAACACGATGTCGAATCAATTCAATTTTCTTGGAAGGATTCTTTCATACTTTGAAAGTAATGTGTAAGATACGTAAATATATATGTGCACCGTGAAATATGACTTTTAGTTTAGGAAAAGCTTTCACGGAAAGCTTTTTATGCTTTTACGCCAAATAAATTTATTTTAATCTAGCCTTATAAAAGACAGAGTGTATATGGCAGGATTTCTATTAAATAACCCCAAAAACGACTACTCCACGCTACTTTTACAGATTTTCCAGAAATTGTAGATCAAAATAGTCCTTTTGTAATTAAAGGTATCGACATAATTTGACAATATGGATGCCATGAACTTATTGTTAAGTTGCTGTTAAAATTAATTGTTTTTCTTTCTACAGCAACCTCCTTATCAGGAGAAGGGCCTGAGTGCTACAACGTCAAGGACAATGGCCGCGATATCTTTAGGGTTTATAGTTTTAGTAACACCATGGACAATCCAAGAGGTTGTGGTGGCTTGCACTGGCACAAGAGCACCCCCAACCCTCGACTTCTTAGTCACCTGGTTATCCATGAGCCACACCTTCTGGAACCCCTTCCTCTATTGGTTGCTCAACAATCAATTCCGAAGAATTTGTAGGGAGTTATTTTTTACTCGGGTATGACTAGTATTTGTCCTCTTATAGAATATTATTTCTCAAAAATAGTTTGCAGATTTTTTGCAGAACCATGAGCAAGAAGAAGAGTATTCAGCACAGTTGTTGCAACAATAGTCCTGTGATAATTCGTCACAAGGAGGGTTGCGATTTTCAAGGACTCTCCGAGAAATATTGGGGAGAAATCCTTGATCGGACATTGTCCAGTAATTCTTTGCAAAATCTACATCGCAGTTTTTCGCACCCGCACGTGAACTGTTACACACCCACGGCTCATGACCTTTGCATCCTAGATTTAGGGGTGCCGGCGTTATGAAAAAAGGACAAAACCACTCAGACATTCGACGAAGCTGTTGCTAGCTTCGTGGGCAGTCCACATAACCTGTCCAATTGTTCGAATTGACTGATGTGGTCCCTTAACAAACACAAAATAGTCCTTTGAAAATTAAAAAGTTCATTGCTCACATCATCAAGGATAACTGTGTTAAGTAAGATGGCGTCAAGTAGGTACACGTTTAACGTTATTTCTATCGAAATAAAAATCATAAAATACGTTATATTCATTAAAATAAGAAGTCAATGAAACCTATGTGATTAACGTAATAACGATTAAAGGAAGAACTGAAGGTAGTGTTCATTTGTCCACAGCTTTAATGTAATTCAGACAATGAAGTATCTCGATTGGGTCTCATTATTTCGTAAGAAGTTTCAGATCAGGTAGGTATATTTTTGAAAATGAAGAAGCAATCAATAGATCACCGTATACATAACGTTACATTTGATGGTAAACCGAGCGGCATGGCCTAGAGGTCTAGACCATTGCTTAGCATTCGGGAGGATGCCGGTTCGATTCCGGGTCCGTCTGCCTTGGTCCAAGTTTTTCTGTGGTTTCCTTGGATAACTTAGGCAAACGCTGAGGCAGTAATATTCCACAGATAATCGTTAACTCTCTTCTGTCTTCATTTCGTCCGTCACATCTTTCTCATCCGAACCACCATCCACCCATTTCCATGATTCCTGAAAGCAGGCTGAAGAGGGCCTTCCGCCCTACCTTCCGGCATAGCCCGGAGGGACTGCCCGCCCACCAGCATTACTAGCTGGTGGAAATGAAACACCCAAGTTTTTTTTTTTTTGATGGTAAAGATCATTTGAAGGCCATACCATTTTCATTTAATAAACAGGATGTTTTGATCACAGCAATGGCAAGAGCAACAAATTTCATAATTGGAAATGTCTTTAACCTTGAGCATTTGAACTTAAGATAACTTTTATCTTTTACATAGTTATTAAATTTAAGGGTGTTTCTAATTATGAAATAACCTGGTTTTTCCCTTATGGGTGTTAAAAGAATTGTCTAAAACTTTTTTCAAAATAATAAGTCCAATCAGGATACTTCAATGTCCCTTGCATACAAAAATATGAAATGCATCCTTGACGTAACGATAAGTATAACAATATTTTTAAATTCTATGGGATAAGACCTACCCTTACCTAATAAATCAATCCATTAAATCTATTTTATCTGTACAGGGAAACACTTTCTCTGAGTAAATGCAGTACTGTTGAGGGAAACTATAGACACATTGTCATTACTTTATATTATTATATCTCCCGGTTTTGACGATGAGATTAAAAAGAGTTACAAATTAATAAACTTCAAATTTACGTGTTTATAATATTAATAACAACTTTTTAACTATTAGTAATTTACCAATTGTGAGAAAGAATGGTTGTAAACTGTACGGAAAATATATTTTTCAAAATATAGGAAATAACATTTAATTTTTAACTAAAGACATTTAAATTTAAACCTTTGATCACCGAGAATTATTTTTCTTTTATATGAATTTATTTATCTGTCTTTTGGTTTGTCGTTTCAACTAAAAGGACCTTCTTTGTTACCAGCCAAATGCACATAAATTAAACTTTTTGTAACATAAGACGTTAAAATAAAAACTATTCAAACGGTACCACACAATTTTTTTAGCAACTAATTTGAACGTTATATAACAAAAGTCATAAATTGTTTTAATATTTAATGTCACATTAATCATTTTCAAAGTCCATAAATTTTATGCTTTACTATGTCTTAAATTTGTTTATTACTAGTGCAACATTTTTGACTGTCTGATGTTTTTAAGTGGTATTAAGATTAAATACCAGACCTGGACTTAAGGGCGTTATTTGGGGGCCCCAAAAATTGAACAAAAAGTAAATAAATACCTTTCTAATGTTGAGGGGGTCCCAATTTATAAAATTTAGAAACAAATTATTTTTTTTAAATTTTATATCTTCGCATAGTAGGGGTAGAAATTGTTTAAATAAATCTTCATACAAAATAAAGGATTGTTTGAAATGTTATATGTACCTACACTTATACATAAAATTGTTGGAAGGATAAATTTTAACATTTTAAGTGTTTATAACAAATAATGAAACTAATAAATATCACGTCAATAAAAAAAGAATAGATTGTACTTGTACGACAACTGTTTCAATGTTAATTAATTAACAGGTATCTAAAGAGAAGGGAATGTATTTATAATTAAATTGTACAAAATACGATGTGCTCGACTGTTTGTTTGTTAAAAAGTTAATGTATGAATAATTTTTAATAATAAAATAAGTTTTTGAAATCTTCAAGTGTATTTTCTTTTCTTCAAACATCTCAGAACTTAAGTGCGATTCAACTATAGTATAGTCTTATCTATTACCTATGTTGGGACATGTTAAAATATTCCCAAATTTTAATTAAAAATATTCTGGGATGGATATCATAAGTAGACGTTTGGTTAGCTCCATATTTTAATTAGATATTATGACAGTAA